GAGGCAAGAAGGTGATGAATACTCCATGAAAAGTTACTTAGTGCACCTTTAGTGTGTGATTAAATTATGATTATATTACATATTATTCCTGAATATTTTCTCACTTTGATGGCTACTGTTGTCTATCTCACTGCCCTGACTTGTCCATCCTCTACTTGTGTCTACAGAAAGTGCAGGTTGTTATAACTGTTCTAGACTATGACAAGATCGGCAAGAATGATGCAATTGGGAAGGTCTTTGTTGGCCTGAACAGCTCAGGGACAGAGCTACGCCACTGGTCTGACATGCTGGCCAACCCGAGGAGACCCATCGCCCAGTGGCATGTGCTCAAGCCAGAAGAGGAGGTGGACGCGCAGCTCTCCACCAAGAAATAGACAGGGGCCCTTTCAGCACCTGCCTTGTAGTACTCTTTAGCCAGTATGTGTAAATACCTCAGTGATATATAGGCCCATTTATGTAATCTGCCCCTCCACCTACATTCGAGCTTTATTGCCCCTTAATTCCACCCACAATATGATTTGTTCAAATTCCCTGTGGCCTCCTAAATCATTTCTTGTTTTCTACAACACTCATTCTTTTATGGCTTTTGTTCAAATTTGTTTTTCCATTGTCATTACCCAGTTGGCCCTGACCAAAAGCCCCTTCTTTTAAGCAATATGATCTGTATAGATAGCGCATGACTGAAAGAATTTATTGTACCACAGTTGTATATATAAGTATGCAGACAAAATGATTTCTAGTTTATGTGTTTGTATGTTGTTACCCGTTTCCTAATCTGTGTATATCTTGATGTTTTTAATAAGATGTTCTATTTTAAATTATGTAAATGCAGATATAGAGGAAAGCCAATATTATGTATATCCCAGGATATAAAAATTCTACCTTATTACCTTATTGCATTCCACAAAATACCAACCTGAGATGCTAGTGGAATTATATAGACATTGTAAAGGCCAATGTTCTTTATATAGTTATATATTGAGATGATTCAGATGATTCACTGCAGTAAAGGCCAACCTTTTAAAATATACTGTATGTGCACATGAAATCCAAAATAAGGCCATTAACTACTATGGTTCTGTAGGACAAAATTATGCTGCTGGAAATTATACAAGCACATGATTTCTTACAACGTTTTATACTTGCTCAGAAAACCTCTGTTGAGTTGATGCAAGCTGGTAAGAGTCAATGCAAACCAGTTAGCATCCTTTTAATTTCTTGTCTGGCAGAATCTGGAGGGTCCTTCATTTATTTTACATATCATACCACAAAAGTAGACCCAAATAATACTCTTCTACTCACTAAAAAAATCCAGTTTATAAAAAAGCACCAACTTGTAGCCATTGTGTCCTTAATGCTGGTAGTTGTAACTTCTTACTTTGAACAGCCTTGTCATTGTTAGAGGTGTCCTACACTTCACCTGGGGTCAGAGGAAGAAAATATAAGTTTTGAGAGACTCTTTAAAGATGAATATTTTTAAAGCAATTTAGCGTCTTAACTATTTTTCGTAACCTGCATGATTTTTTTTACAATCTTTAGTAAAAGGCTATAAAGGTTGTAGTGATCTTTTTGACACTGGGGGCTGTCTCTATACCATATAGGTTACTGTGCCCTTGCCTTCAATCAAGAGTTGAGTTACACTTGAGGTTGCTGTGTATAAATTACAGTTAACTGACTGACTTATGTGAGGTGAATTCTGAAAAACACTGCCATTTTCGAGAGGCATCTCATATAGAGGGCCTCTCATCATGCACACTACCACTTCCTATAGTGGACGTAGCTTTGGCAATGTCTTTGGCTGCACCGGTGCCCTCAGTCGCAGTCTTTGCTTTGTGTTGCCTTCTGAACAGTGACAATAGAGCTAGCCTTGTTAAAACTGCCAATTTACCTTTCACGTGGCTGCTGTTTTGCACTGGATGTCTTTGAACTAGTTTGTTGACTTTACAAACCATTACTTAATATGGTGGCTTTCTTCTTTCTACCAGCAGGAGACCCTTCCACCTGCTCAATCAGATGAAAATGGGAAAGTAATGACAAATCAATTAGTTCTGTTTTTGTTGTTGGTGTGCTGCTACACAAAAGGAGAAAACCGTAAAAGTTAATGGTCTATGTAGGCGATTAGTCTATCACATCCTTTACTACGGGTCCAATCGAAAGAAGGAACAAGTTTAATCCATGAAAACCATAAAGTCTCTTATCTTGGAGGAACCTCTTGCATATACTCAATGCTATAGCTTCAGGAGGACGTATAAATGTTTTCAATGTTATTGTGTAGTTGATAGCACTATTATGAAAAGCTACTTGTCATTCCATAGGAGTCTCTTGAGGACTGCTTTGTGTATCACTGTGACTGCCGTGTGTGCTTATAGAGATGTAGATTTATCAGTAGGTAGCGATACAGTCTGTTCTGTAGTGATGTCGTAGCGTTTAATTCCATTTTCCCTTCTACATGCAGAGAGAGAGATTGTGGCAGTGCATGTCCTTGGACAGGCATAAAGAAAATACATAAATATAACAAAAAGGCCAGATGTTTTTTGGATCGCTTCACACAGCATTCTGTTGAGCACTGTGCAATACTTCTATGTTCATCCCATAGTGTTTTGTGGGTGGCATTACCCCCCAAAAAGACCCTAACCCTAAAATGGATGATCCCAGTGAGTGCGTGACACAGCAGACTTAGATTCAGCCTGTAGGTTGGAGCTTGACATCGTTTGAACTCTTTGTAGGGTTTCTCCATTTTTACAGGTTTGTTTCTCTTCTTGCACACAGTTGCAGCATCAGGAGTTTCAGGGAGTATTAGTTACACCAAACTAGATGCTATGTTTAAAAAGCCCCTCCAAATGGCATGTACATATTTACAAAGTCTAGTCCAAATGTATCTAGAAGAAAGTGTCCTGAATATGACTACCACAGAGTTTCTATTGATCATCCATGAACTGTACTTTATCTGTTGTTTATGTTCATGGATAATATGAACATTTAATTTCTGTGTTATTTATATTGTTGATTCAAAATCCCTTTTTATATTTGAGATGAATGTACAGTGTGAAACTGTGTGAATTTCTTTTACTTTGAGATTATATGTATTTTGCACTTTTTGTTCATAATTTTCAAATGTATTCATATTTAATATAGATTTTATTTATTTTACATGTTTACTTGTGTACATTCATGACATTTAGAACAGCTTCAGATATAAATATATGTGGTTTACAGATACAGATGAATCCTGTGTTAATATAAATGCACAATTTTAACTAATCGGATGAAACAATATTATTCTGAATTAAACTGAAATAAATCAATGTTTTCAATATTCAGGGAATTGAGAAATGAGTAGCATTGCAGAACGCATTCACTTGCGAGGTGTAGAGAAGTTCTCTGAAGTATAAGCCATTACCTGCACTGCATTGCAATGCTACAGTCATGACAATGTCCCAACCAAAGTATGCATGCATAAACTCCAATCCTGTCTTGTAAAATAATTTATAAGCTCTCTGTGCAACAAGGAATTAATGATTCTTTCCAGTGAGACCAACAAACGCCACACTGACCTTTTACAAACAAAGCTGTGTAAAGTATTAGAATCTGATGCTGTAGAAAGATCCTAGTTGCCTTTGTGTATATCAACTGCCTGCTTGAGTATTTTGTGTGTGAAATTTTCTCTGTACTCTTGTAAAACTGTTTGGGGTGTTTTTCCTGCCATATTGCCCGCTGTGACGTGGGCTGCAGTTATATTTGCTGTGTATACCTTCATTTTGATGAGGTGTTTTACAGTTTTGTTTCACTTTGTGTAGTGATTAACTCTGTGGAGTTTTCTGACTGTTGTTATATAACTTCATATACACAAATGATCAATAAAATGTTTTATTTCCTGTTGATACAGAACTTGACTTGGTGTATTGTGTTATTTTTTAATGATGCCATACGCTTATAATGGTCAAATAAACCGACACTATTTTCTCTTTTATCTTGTAGTAAAAAAAACACACACACACTTCAATCTTCTCCTTTTGAGCACCAGAAATGGTCCCATCATATGTACATGTACATATTCTTGAGTTTGGCATGTACCTTATACAGGCATGTTGCTCAGACAAATAACAATCAATGTTTAGTTTCTCGCGTCCATAAAGAATTGGGTGCTTTCTTAATTTAGTCCTGATTAAAAGAGTAGTTTAGTCCTGATGCACAGTTTGGTCCGGTCAGGCTACTTTAGTTCAGGACAGTACCACGTTGTAAACAGGACAATACTGCCATCTGCAGGAAACCATGAAGCATTAAAAGAATAGAAGCCGCCTTTAATAACGCTCTAGCAGTCTGCACCGGGTTACCTCTGACACTTTACATTTATGCTTGTCCTTTATGAGACCACACCCAGTGGTGAAAGTATATCATTAAATTATACGTTACACAATAGCAATGTAAACTGCAGCTTTGATACAGATGCATTTTAGAATCCCAAAATGATGAAGACGAAACTTTTGTAAGCTGGCGAACATAAAACCAAAATGCAAAGTGAACTAGTTTTATTATAATGGTGGTCCCTTACTGTTCATTTAGGTGCATTTGAGAGATTAATCGGGTATGTTGAAGTAGACCGCTGCCACATGTCCCCGCCCACATGTAGACCTTCTAAGTTGCGAACTGTTGCTAAAGGCTAGGCTAAACTAATGTTAAAAAAATGTGCATATTAATGTTTCAAAAACAAGTAAAAAAGAGGCTGACCGTCTTTGTTCTGCAGTGTTGCATACATTTCCGTTTTTTAAACCGTAATTAATGAAAATATATATTTAAAAAAAAAATGAAAATGATCCAGCCTACTTGTCTTATACGGTCTATGGCCTACACCCGTATTTTAATAGATCCATGCCTACACCGTACACCTTTCACGTGGCTGCTGTCACGTAGCTAACCGGGAAAAAAAAGAAGTTGCGATTTTCATTTCCAGAATAAAACATCAAAAACACAAGCCTTTTATTTTTGCAGCGCAGACCGGATGTTGGAGGCATCATTAGCTTCGCAGCTGTTAGCATTGTGACAGCTTGCTTGGGTGTACTGTCAGATCTGCGCAGCTACTTCTTCCTACTGGAGAACTTTATTTATCTATTGAAGAACTTAACTGTGTCTGAAAGAGCAAAATGTTGTCCTATCTTATAAGCGTAAGTTAATATTATTTTGGCTGCGAATTACTGCGTGTGTTTGCTAGTTAACGGAATTACGTTAGCTTTTGCTGTTAGCTTGAATTGAGTTTGCACAGTCTAGCCTTGCCAGAGGAATGTGTATGACTCACGAATCCCATTCAGCCCATAGACCAGACTAAAACATGTTTGCGACGCACCAGCATCAACCAAAGAACAAAATGGACACAACACGGGTGCTTACAATAACTGTAAAATTAACTGTGTTTGATCTTATCACAGCTAATCCGGGGGAGCGTGGATAGCATCATGAACTTCATTTTCAGGCTTCTATTTGCAAAGCGGAGACCTGCTATTACCTTACAAGACCCCAACATAAAATATGCTCTACGGCTTGTTGACAAAGAGGTACCCTATCAAACAGATCACTTGAGCTGGCAACCGTGTATGGCTTGCGATTATTGTAATGTTGTCTTTCCATGATTAGATTGTGAGCCATGACACAAGAAAGTTTCGATTTGCTCTTCCTTCGCCTGCTCATGTCCTTGGTCTTCCCATAGGTAAACTTAGATATGTATTTCCTTAATGTATACACAATGGATGGTGCTAACATTAAAGTGTTAACACTAAGATTACTTGTTTTCCAAGGTCAGCACATCTACTTGTCAGCCAGAATAGATGGTAAATTGGTTGTACGTCCATACACTCCTGTGTCCAGTGATGATGACAAAGGCTTTGTGGATCTAGTGGTAAAGGTAAATATGGTCATCGTATGCCTCTAATTTACCCACATAGGCTTACATCACATGTACATCACATCACTTGTTTTGTTTTGCTGACAGATATACTTCAAAGATGTTCATCCAAAATTCCCTGAAGGTGGAAAGATGAGTCAGTATTTGGAAAGTCTCAAAATCAATGACACTATTGACTTCAGGGGGCCAAGTGGTCTTCTTGTGTACAAAGGAAAAGGTAAGACAATCATAAAGGATCTCACTCATTATCATTCATGAACAATGTCACAGACAATAACTGAATGAATCTTTTCTACAGGCGTGTTTGCTATCCAGCCAGAGAAGAAGGCTCCTGCTGAAACAAAAACAGCCAAACATCTTGGCTTGATAGCTGGAGGGACAGGTATCTAACAATATTTCATTTTTGTCTTACTCTAGCCTTGGCAGAGCAAGTCTGGACTGTGATATCCTATATTAGATAAATCCCAAGGGAATGTTGTCCATTTTATTTTTCACAAGGAATCACCCCTATGCTACAAATCATCACAGCCGTGATGAAAGACCCCAATGATAAGACTGTATGTCATCTGTTGTTCGCAAACCAAGTAGGTATCTTTAATCCTTATTTATACACATTGTACATTTGACTGATATTTCTGTCATTTTTCATTTGTTCACAAACAGACTGAGAAAGATATTCTTTTGAGAGCGGAACTGGAGGAGATACAAGTAAACAACCCTGACCGGTTTAAGCTGTGGTTCACAGTGGATAAGGCCCCAGCCAGTAAGTGATCCCACTGATTATTCAGTGGAAATAAATCCAGAATTTCTGTTTTTGTGAGCGGGTAACAGTGATTGTAAATGTTTTTTCAATTGTGGTGTGCCTTAGCAGAGTGCACTGTGTACCAGTTTTTTTCAAACATGTTAACAGCAATTATCTCCATCTTGCTATAGTTAACAGTCTTAGCCTTGTCACCTAAGAAACTTTGACCTCAGCCCATTGGGTATTGCATGTTTCTAGTGGTGTAATCTTCATGTGCTGTATAATTCACCGAGCATCTTTCTATTTTTCAGATTGGGAGTACAGCCAGGGTTTTATTAATGAAGACATGGTGAGGGACCATCTGCCCAGCCCCGGTGATGACACCCTCATTCTAATGTGTGGACCGCCACCTATGATCCAGTTTGCCTGTAATCCCAACCTAGACAAAGTAGGACACTCAGAGAGCCGTAGATTCACCTTCTGAGGAAAAGGAAATTCCTTAACAGATGCTGCCCCTCAAACATAATCGCACTAAACATATTTGCACTAAATCATATTTACGCTGTGGTGTTTATATTTCAATGGAAAGAAAGTGTGGACCAATTTTTGTCACTAGCAAGTGTTCTTGTGTGGATGACGTCAGTCATATATGCAGAAAGTTTATGGATGCAAGAGAAAAGATGCCAAATCCAATGTTACCTGTCCCTCTGAAGCCTTATTTCAATCAACATCTTGTTAACACATTGGTTGGGGCTTTACAACTTCAGCTTTTGAGTGCCTTAACACTTGCAGAGCTTTTTATGCATGATGAAATTAATTTTACTGCTTTATTTTCACATTTTGTAATGTGTTACGGCTGCTGTGCTCTTTACTGGGTATATATTTAAAATTTTCATCATGTTGTATATAATGTTGGCACATGATGGCAGCAGTGTAGCCATCTTACGATATGCTTAGACTTAAAATTTGATGTGTCACAATTTAATTCAGATTTTAATTGTGTTTAAAGTGAGCTCTCAACATTAAAGAAACAATTCAGTGAGATTTGTTTTATTTGTAAAAAATTATATCAAGCATGCACTGGGTAATGAAGTATACATGGTAGTTTACATGTCTTAAATATCAAACAAAGTAAAAAACAGTAATATGTTAAGTGCAATCCCAGGTCCACAGCTACATAACACTACAAATGCAATATTTTTAAAGTAATTAAACCAACTATGTAGTTGGGCGCCCATGAGTATGTTGTGTGGTTGCTGAAGATTGAGATTTTTTTATTAGTCAGAAGATACAGGGCTAACAAGATTTAAAACCGTTCTAACCCAGAAATTGGTTTCTACATACCAGTGGAGATTCCAAAATGTATTGCATTCAAGATATATTACTGTTTACCAGTAGTGAAAAGTAACCACTTAAAAATGTTGAAAATTGTTGTTGCCATAAATAAACTGAGAACTTGCAGTCAAATTTATTACTATATATGTTATATATAATATTAATATTATACATAATATATTTTTTTCTAACATGAGGTAGTGATGACCCAATTTTGATGTGCTTAATACATGCTAATAGTTTGTTTTTGCTTCACTGAATAAACCAAAATATAGTCAATGTACATCCCATATTTGTAGCGTTAAATCCCCCTTAGTACCACAAATGAAACACGTATTTAAATATAGATAATAGCTGTTATACAACTCCTAAAATGAGACAAACCAGAATGATCAGAGTAAAAGTGTTGGGACAGGATAAGCTCACAGTTGGTGTTGGCACAGTTACCTCTCCTCTCATAAACTTTAATTCACCACATGGCACTCAGACACTAGGAGTTTTCTGTTTCTACTATTGTATCTTCAGGACACACAGTCACCTCCCGAAAGAACTCGTCTTCCTTCAGCATGCTCTGAAAAATAAAAATTTGCATTGCTATCTTTCATTTGGAATGAACTGTTTACAGTGTGTATCTTAAGTAAGTAACTCACTGTCAAATTGTTTATTTCTTCTGAAAATACTCCAATCTGTCTTACAGTCCCCTCAGAATCCTCCATCTGCCAAAGCATCATAAACCACTCAGTGACAAGGTTAAAACATCGGTTGTGTTAGCAGAAGAGGTGCCCTTAAACCTGTTCTAGGTGATCCAGGTGGTCCTCGTACACCTGGGCCCCCTTCTGGAAGCTGCTGCTCTTGGGCATTTCCACATTCATGGGGCAGACAAATTCATCACCATCATCTTGGCGTTTCCTTCTCAACGAGCCAAAGCTACTGAATGATAAACGCCTCGGCTAAAGGACAGAAAAGTCAAAGTTATGGGTCATAATTATGTACACTACAAATACAAAAAAAAAAAACACAACCACTCGTCAAACAATTAAAAATAGCTATAACTTACAACTTTAAAAAGAGTTATCGTTATCGCCATCATCATCATTATTATTATAATGTGATGTTAATATTATACTAGGTAAACAAAACTAAAAATAATAATAAAATGGTAAGCAGCACCTTGACCTTGGCGGTGGCTGTCAGAACCGTGTAGTCTGGGTTTTCCAGACAGTCCTGTTTGAGCCGCTGTGCCTCAGAGCCGATGAGCAGGTGGAAATGTGTTGCCAGGTGGCGCCTCAGCAGGGTTTTATTTGGAGGAATATTAAGCAGAAGGGCCAGAGATTCTACATTGAAGCGAGGTTCCAACACCTTCAGACAAACAGACAAACATTTTGGGAGGATCTTTTTTAAATGTGTTGACGAAAGAGTTTTAAAATTTACCATATGTTTAAGCCACAGAAAAAAAGTAAAATAAGTTTTCTTTTCACCACATTATTTTAACTTCCGATATAGAACAACTTATGAAGGAGTTCTTACCATGAGACCACCATGAACCCCACTCCCCCTGAGATTCGGAGCATACTCTGCCAGATCCACAGACCTGAGCCACTCCATCACTCTATGATTGGTCCACTGAGAGATTTCAGCTGGTGTGATATTATTCTACACAAACATGAAGCCGTCACTCCAAAGTCTAATTAGGAAACACCCTGTGTATGTGTAAATGCATGTGTGAGTTACCTCATCAGAGGGCCTGCGTCTGAGGCAGCTGGATTCAAACGAGTTGAGCCGAAGGACTTGGATGGCTCTTTTAATACTCAGGTGATGAAGAACACTGCCCACTTTCAGAGACAGGAGGTCTTCCTAATACACACAATGTAATGTACAACAATAACTATATGAAAACTAAGGGTTATGTCTATGTTCAGTAACTATCAGAAACCCTCTCAAGGAACAAGTATTATTCCATTAGCTCACCACTGTCATGTAGTGCAGCATACGTCCATCAACACGGGCCTCATCAAAGTTACTTTTGTACTGTGGGAGACCAATGTCATCCAGCCATCCTGACAAAACAGTAGCCTTTATTTAGCAAAAAGTGATATTAAAAATGTGCCCTAAGATGACAAAAATGTGTAACTCACTGGTGACCCAGTGGTGGTCCAGTCTGCCCTGAAGGTCGTCCTCCTCTGATCCCAGAGCCTGCAGGGCCAACTGCAGCTTCTTCCTGTGGAGCGGCTGTCTAATGCCCAGCTCCTGAAGAGTAGAGGCAAGGCAACAGCAGGCTTAGAGCAGGTGATCAAACACTTCAAACTCTTTTTTAAACAAATGAATGCATCAGCATCATTGAAGAGTTTTACTGAATAATGCCTTGGATATAAAAGATAACATAAGACAGAAACCAGTAGCTACCTTTTCCAGATCATGTTGTGAAGCATGCAGAAGAGTTTGTCCAGACTTTATCCAGCTCTGGCCTTGAGCAGCGTACAGTCCCAGGCCCTGTTCATGAAACCATGCACAGACCTCCTCCTTACTCCACTGTGAGAAAGGAACACTTACTGCTCTGAGAAGACACACAAACAGCCCTGATCAGATCAATAATTATTTCCTTATAGAGCAAAATGATACTTTCAGATGTGTATTGTGTAAAAAGGACACTTGCTGGTGTTTTGGTTCGTGTGACCATCCAAGGCGAGGACCAGCTGTTGCTCTGACTCCTCCCCTCCTGAACTCCATCTCGGCATCATCAAGGTTAAATGATGTAGAGTGACTTCTCTTTAGTCTACAGGATTTATGTCACATTTTAGACAAGAAGGATAAAACTTAGAACCAAAACACAAACAATATGCTGACCTGCCAAAAAGTTTCATCAAACCCTTTGACTTCTTTTTAGTTTCTGGTGAAATTGGTGAAGGTGTTTCAGATTTTTGTGGGTTAACTCCCGCCAAGTCTAGATGATCTGTGCCTTTACGTTCTGCTTCTGTTGCAAAAATAAAGAAATAAATAATTAAACAATTAAAAATGTCATTCATATTCTCTGAGAAACTACCAATCACACTGAACACCGCATTTTTATCATCAATCATATTTAATATTTCTATAGTTTAGCAAGATTATGTAACAATTATATTGTTGACACAATTATGTGGCTCTGCTGAAAGCCGTGACCAAAGAGGGTAAACTTGCTTTTATTTAGTTTTTTCGTAATTGAGTCAGTAGGTAGAGGTCAACAAACAGCAAAATAGAATGGATTATGTTGTAAGAAAGTTATTGTATTCACTGTTTAATAGTTTTAAAGATTGGATTAGGAGGGTAGGAGGTTGTAACATATAAATAGCATCCATTCTGTGGGACCAATGAGAGACTCACCCAGAGTTGATGTGCTACCACCATGTTTTCCCCCACGCAACTTGAAAAATCCTCGGCCAAAAGATGCACGAACCCTCTTACTACCAAAACTTTCAGAACTTGATTTTGTGGGTTCATTATTTTTTATCTGGAAAACAAAAAAAGAATATAATGTAATATTGTGATTGGCCACCAGGTGTCGCACAAACGTTATGAGCATTAATTGTCTTGAGACAGTAACCTCAAATGTATAAAATTCATTCATTTCAACTCATTTCATGTTTAAAAGAAGAAAAAAAAACAACAACACAAAGGCAGTAAATAGATTTTAAAAAGACAATTCAATATGATATTATAATAAATCATATTATATATAAATGAAATAAGTTAGTGTTAGTGTCCTACCTGTAGATTTTTGCTTTCCTCTGGTGAGCTCCCTTCAATCGAACTATGAAGAGAAACATTGAAATGCTTGGTAGGGCCACCATAAGCAACTACAGCTATTATTTTTGTGGGTTGTGTTGTGTTGGAAGGCTTTATTAAGATACATTGTATTTTGTTCATAGTCTACCTTTGTGTTCCCTTTAGTTGTCGTTCTCTGTCCATTTCATTCATTTCAGAAAGTACTGCTATACATGGAATAGACTGAAACACATACACAATTGTAATATCAGGCCATTTTCCTCTTATGAACACTGTCCAACAAAATGAAATCTGAAGCTGTGGATTTTAAGTGTAGTGGGAGGCTTTTCAGAGGAAGTCTTGAGTCTGGGCTTTATCCTGTGAGCAAATTGTTTTGACAGAGGCAGCATGTTTACCTCTCCAGAGCTCCTTCCTGTCTCCACCACGACCTGATCCACCTCCATGGACAATGGATATGACAAATCCTCCTGGATATCAGCATAGTCATCTTCCCTAAACCGCTCTGAGAAACACAAAACTCTGTGTTGTATGGGGCCACATTTAATTAGGTTAAGTGATTACTGAAGGACCCTGTACATTACTGACCTTTGTCTATCTCTTGAACATTCTTGCACTTTGTAAGAGACTCCTCAAGCTCTTTTATTCTTTGTTCCTGTATCAGAATATAATAAATAATAAAATAAATCCGTACAATACAATAGTATGTATTCATCATAATTGTTTAATTTGTTTTAGGAGTACCTTATCATCATTGGCAGATGTCAATGACTCCAAAATCCTCCTCATCTTCAACATTTCTGTATCTAAATCAATTATTACACAAAAAATTCTTTTGGTCTGAACACATAAACATTTCCCAGGAAAAAAAAAATTCAATCAAGATTAAATAGATTTTAGTTTATGCAATTATGATTTCCAGGAAATATGTGGTTAGTTGTCTGGGAT